TACTTATTTCTGACGGCAAAGCTACTTCCTCGACAGACTCAGATTCAGAAAATCGTGTTTCTGAAAATGAAGAAGATCAGGTTACAAAATAACTTTTTATTTAGAGGCACTTCACTCAAATGTTTAAAAAATGGCATAAAATAGCATTCGTTTTTAAATGTATATCTTATCAATTTTAATTAATAAATATAAGATTTTTTTTCAGAATATTCAACTTTTGGATTTAGTGAGGCAAATTGGAATTAACAATCCAATTACGTGCATACCTGTCGGAAATGATCCAAACATTGTATTTTTATGTTTGTTTTTTTTAACGCATTTTCACAAAACAAACTATTATTAACTAATTACAAAGATCATATATTGTTTGTTTGCTTGAAATATAATGATCTAACTTAATTGTATTAACTCGAAAATATCTCAGTTCATTAAGCATATAAATCATCAATAATAAGACATATTAGTCAACACTGTACACTCAACAAACAGATCATTTTTATACCACTAACAGTGCTTACTGGGTTGCCTATGGATCTCGAGGAGGACAAATACTAAATTATGAAGAAACCACACAATTCGCAAAATATTCATTAAACATGGTATAGTACCCTTACTTCAATCAAATGTTTACTTAGACTGTTTAATTGTTGTTTTTGTGCAAACGTGGAATTTTGTTTTCGGTTTATTCCTTACCAGATTAAAAAAAATAAACGCTTTTCTTATTTATAGATGATTGCTGGGGACATTCTCGGGGAGGTGCCGCCTACTACCTGCACTATTGATGACGTGAGATCCGAAGTATTTTCTACAAGATTTCAGCATGTCGTTACAGAAAGGGACTTGGTAAGTAATATGACCTATTTTCAAATACAGGCAAATGCATAATTAACATTCAGTATTGAAATGTAAATAATAACCCAGCAGGCACACAACGTTGTTTAAACGTTGAATATTAGGTGAAGTTGGGTTTCGACGTTGATAAATCTAGATACAATATTGATTCAACATTGACTTTTCAACGTTGAAATTTAACGTTTAATCAACATTGAATTCAAATTGAGTTGAATTGTCAACATTGATTCAACGTCGGATCTTCGCTGAGCGGGCCAATTCTATTTTTCGCTGATAGATAATTTGGACTATAATAGTGTCGGACTATAACACTGCATGTCGGACCATAACGAGGTCGGACTTGACAAAGTCGCACTACCGTATATCATTACTAACTATTATAACTAACAAGGATGGTAAATATGGGAATTTTACACATTCAATGATAAATATGAATTCGATACGAATTTGCCAAAGTACAAATCAAGAGTATACGCAGTAGGACATCCGGAAAATATTCAAAAAGACAGCATAATACAACCCTCAGGACTCTACACCAAGATTTAATGAAAAATACTCTTTAAAGAAAACATTTCGGCATGTCAGAATACTAGTAACATTGAAGAGACATAATTTGTCGAAATGCATATCTGGTGCATCAAAAGTTGTACCGTAAAAGATTTGCATCTTACCTTGGAATGGTTTCATGTTCTGGACTATTTCATGACCACATGTGAAAATACAAAACGTTTGTAAATGCTCGGGTTTTGTAACATGATTAATTTATAAAATGCATTTTGGTGAAAATTATTGTAACACAATTAACTATTGATAGGAAATTAAACACTTACTGTTTACAATATATAATTTTTTTTTCATATAGTGATATATATACCGTAAGATTTCATTTAAGGGGTCCCGACCCTCTGCTATAAATTTCACCTTAGAAAGTTTTATATTTCATAAACAAGAATAACATTAGAGCCACATGGAAAATAGTTTGAAGTATAAAGCGCTGCTTATTTTTTTCAGAAATGATTTTTATGCGCAGATCATGAAATGAAGAAATTGAACACAGGGAATAGAAAGAGTAACGATTTATTACCACAACATTAAATATAATATATGAGGTGCATATAAAATAATACTTACTATCATACCTATTTAAATAATGTTAGAAAACATCATGGAGCGATGTTTCCTAAGTCAGAAAATCACAATGTTGTACGTAGTTGTAAGAAAAAAATATATCTGTGATGAGGAGTTATCTTTCTTCTAAATATTTCTTCATGTGAAAAAAAAGTCATTCTAATGAAAATACTGTATTAAGTACTCGAAATATTAAACTATTTTTAAAATGGTACTTAAAAAGATACAAGTTATTCAATTTATAAGGCATTTGATGTTGGATTTAAATGTTTTATTGTTAAATATGATAAAACAATTACAAAGAAATTTGCAAAAGAAATAGAAAGTAATGTTTCCATCGTATGTTTGATCTCATCAAATTAACTACACAGAGGTCTCAGGAAACTGATTAAGAAAACTGGGAGTAGTATTACTATTTTGTACTGTGAAAGTTCTGTCTTATCAGAGGGTCGCCATCCCTTCATCTTAGCAACCGTGCAATAAAACGGTAGAAATTTTAAATACTAGTAAGTATATTATTACTATATGGCACCCCTTTCCAAAATGAATAATTGAATAAATGTTGAATCAACTGTTTTTCAACATATAATCAACGTTGATTGTCAATGTTGATTCAATGTTAAGACTTCAACGTTGATACAAATTTTCAAAATCTAACATAAAATCAATGTTGAATCAACATAGAAAAACAACGTTGATTCAAAGTTTATTCAATGTTGTGTGCCTGCTGGGAAATTATTTCAATTTTTTTCTAATTCATAGGCTCATTTTGATTGGTTACGTTTAAAACTACTGAATAGCATTTTTGTTATTTTTACAACTACAGGTAAACTAGTGTTTATTCGTATTAATTATCTCCATAGATTATGCCTATATGTAGTATAAAGTTGTATATTTATATATTATATAATTGCTTCTCAAATAAGGAAGATGTGGTGGAGATTTTAAACAATAGACGTATATATGAAATGAATGTATATCTAAATGAAGAGCACTTGGAACACTACCAGTATACTGAACGTGATGAAAGACTACCTCCACCAGGGACGAGGGTACGAAGAGGTCCACGTTGGACCTATAACAATCAGAACTCCGATGGATTAGGCACTATAATAGGACACTGGGATCGAGGTCAGAAATGTTTAATTTCGACAAAATAAGATTTCTTTTCTGATTTTCTGAATTGAAATGTTTTGTTTTATCTACAGATGGATGGATGTACGTTGAATGGGACAATACTATGAGATTTCCATATGAATATAATCCCAATGATCAGAAGCAGAGCGCCGTCATTGTTTGTGATGAACCTCGAATACTAAGGAGAGAAGACATTGCTGTTGGTTGTGTTGTTAAAAGAGGTAAAATTTTATAAAATTGCCTAGATTTCTCTAATATGTGAGCCCGTTACCTCCAATTGGACTTTTGCAAGGAGCGCTGATTTTTAAACTTGACGGCTTATTTTTACACTAGGTAAAGGTGCGGGAGCTCTTTTACGAAATGAATATTTATCTCAACGTTTGACTGACGTTTGAATAATGGGTTATTTCAAAGCTCAGATAAGTTGTCCTTGTAGACACCAAAAACCACCTTACTCTCAAATTCCGGTCCTCAGCTTTTATATCTTAACATCATACTCATGACCTCTTGAAAGGTTTCTTTATCTGTTATCAATTCTGTACCCCTATACGATGCAGGTTTAAATGTCAAAGTAAACCATCAACTGTAAAAGTTAATGCTTCTCACAGAAGTCCGTTATTCGCGAAATATATAATTGGAAGTGAGCGCTCTACTGCTCGCCTTGTTAATTATTGCTCACGAAGACAATTGTTCTGGAATGATAAAATTTTCAACTTACGTAGACCACGTCATTTTTCACCCTATAAACAGCTTATTAATTAATTTATATATATATGGCATTTCTTGAGGGTATTTCTACAAATGAATATTGGTAATATTTCATAATTATTCAGTAATTTTTCATTTTTGTCGTCATAAAATCAGCTTTTGTTTTCTGTCTAAAAAAGCTGCTTCTTACTTAAAATAAAGATCATATTGGCTATTTCAGATCCATTTTCAATTAGTTTGGTGCAAAATTGAATAATTGCGATTTTTTGAAAATAGGTCCAGATTGGAAATGGGGAAACCAGGATGGTGGTATAGGTAATATTGGAGCTGTTTATAGGGTGAAAGATGACGTGGTCTATGTAAGTTGAAAATTTTGTCATTTCAGAACAATTAAAACATCACTTGTAATTTCATTAGTTATATCTGTTGATAAAAGCATCAATAAGTATTAATTGTTTTATTAATGCTTTAACTGAAAAAATGACTTCAATTTACGTTTACATTTTCAAATTTCTTTAGGTTCGCTGGCCAAATGGAAACAAAAGCAATTACAGATTCGGTCATAATGGAAAATTTGATATTGAAGTCTGGTAGGTGTTTCATGAAAATTAACATAATATTCAGACAATAAGTAATTCCACCTTTTATTGGTGACGAGAGGATGTTTCTACCAATGAATATTGGTAATATTTCATAATTATCCAGTGGAGAAAATTTTTCATTTTTGTCGTCATAAAATCAGTAAAATTACTTCTTGCTTGATGAAAGGAACTGAATTTTAGGACAAAAAGGCAAACTGCATCGCTCTAAAATGCTCATAGTAGTTTATAGTATTAAGTCCTCGAATACAATAGTTGATTAAACAGAAAAAAATGAATTTACTACTTTTTTGTCTCAAAAATTCTTTAACACTCATGTATTTTAGTGATCCTTTTGACGTAAGCAGAGTCGTCTCATCTCATAAGTGCGAAAATGTTTTGAAACATACCAGTGAGGAAGATTTTGGTGTCAAAAATAAAACACAAGGTAAAAAGAAGGAAAAATTTAAAATACATTTTTTCATATAAAAACAATGAAAACAATCAAGAAAAGTTAAATAATGTTAATTCATATATAGTACTTATGTAAAATATCTTGCATTAAATTCGTTTCTTATCAGTAAAACTGACTTTTAAATGAAACGTTTGCTAATCCTGCCTGTCCATTTGTTAAATAGCAAGAACAGAAAAACAACTCGAGTCATTTGTTAAAAGAGAAATTACAGTGGATGGTAAACAGAGAGTCCATTCCGAATCCGTAGATGATCTAGATTGTGACAAAGATAAAAGTGATTTTTCCTGGGAATGGAAAACCGAAAATGGTCAATGGAAACGTTTTTCAAAGACGGAAAATGAGAAAATTATTAAAGCATTCGAAAAGAATTCAAAATCGACAATACTTATACGAATGGGCGAACAAATGTATGTTTTAAAGTCCATTCTCCTATTCCTTTTGGCTATAATGTGTTTTATTTCGATTAACTTTTACTGATGCTTTTCTATCTCTTCTTGGTAGGTATAGAGTGATATTATCGAAGATGACGTTGCTGAATATATCAACAAGAGAGACTTATGATGTGAGGTGCCGTGAAAATGTACATGATCTACAAGCTTGACCCTTTTTGTAAAGAATTCTTCGATAATGTAGCGCGGTATAACATCAATGATTTCAAGTGTTAATGTCTATATTGACATTTCATATTCTTCGTATTTCCCGTAAACAATTGAGTGGTGAACATGGTAAACCAATGATATCAACAGATTCAAAAGCATTTTTCTGATATCTAATTATTCAAATTATTCATGTATACATAAAACTAAAATATGAAAAAAAAAACTTTTTCGTCTTTAAATGTTAGTGTCTTTCATTGTATTTTTAAAGATATGTATGCCGTGTTAAACAGTATTTTTCCACAGCTGAAACCGAACAAAAATTTCTGAAGTATGATAAGCTATCAAAAGTGAAGCATTCTTGCTAATTCGACGAAATATTATTCGGTATTAACAAAGTACTGGTCGGAAAAAGAACACGATATTCTCATGCATATTTATGATGGACTGACGTTTATCCTGGATCTGCGAATGTGCGCGGGAAAAGCATCACGAGAATCCCATCAGGTCGAGGAAAATATTTTTTGTGACGTCTGTTCAGTGAGGAACACAAATCCACCAATCAGCTCAATGAGTTGCATTTAATGCATTTATGGGTTACTACATAAAATACTACTGTGTAAAATAATACTGTGTTATTCGAATGTTAGTCATTTAAAGACGTTTTTTCACCTGTGTGTGCATTTTAACATTTTCTAATGTTCATTATTTTGCAATCTATGAATTATCATTAACATTTGTGAAAGAAAGTGAAGTCTTTGTTTCATTCTACCTCACGAACTATTGATTCAAACCATTCTGAGGAGTAATTCATCTCTTTTGTAACCTTAAACAATCAGGTCCAACAAAAACTAGGACCACGAACCATCTTTTGGCTTCATGCTTTACACAAAAATAAGATTTCGATTCAAGTGGGGTAATATAGCTTTTAATGTTTGTAGACATTTTTTCTATTTTCATGTATTATAAAGTCAACTGTGGGGGTTAGAAACTCTAATGGTATTTTTTTTGTGGTTTTAGCATTCAATCTTACTGCATGTAAACAAACGATATCACTGCTAGACTTTACTTTAGTTTTTAGATCCCCTCACTTCCCATCATTTCCATCACTATAGTTATATTTTTGTGCGACATTTTGATACTAATAGCAATATAAAAGCAACCCAATTATATACCCATAGTTGTTTAATGATCATTTTAAAATAAAATAATAAAAAATTACTATACTTTTTGGCCAAAGTATTCCAGTATTATCTGATTATTATCTGATTTGAGTCAGTTTACACTTTATTTTGTGAAGCGAAATATAAAAAAGCGTAAACTGTCATAAACTAGGTTAGTCGAATTATTTGGCCTAGAAGTACAGTCATTCCTATATCAAAATCATCTATTTAAATTCTTTTGCCAAAAAAATATTACTGATGTTTCAGTGAATTCAAGTTTAGATTTATCAGTTTACATATTTTAATTGCCGATGTTATGATGAAAATAAACGAGTGGAAATTGAATGCTTGTAAGGTTTATTTTATGGTGTTTGGATAAAGAAAAAATAAAAATGTGAGATAGTTTTCCACACATTTCCGGGACTTTTATGGGGCGCGAAGTTTTTTTCCGAATAACAGAATCTTATATAATCTGTCATTAAAATGTTTTAAAGAATCTTTTTATCAATCATTTCCGAATTTCCGTTTGCTATTGTTCTTACGTTCTTCCTGATTATAACAAGGCTTTTCTCGCTTGGTTCTATTTTGTATATTTTATACCAATATTGCTCCGTCACATAATATAATAACTCTATAATATTATATAAATAGAGTTTAACTATTTTTTTTCAATCACTATTTTTGTTAGATAATAGCCATGTCAAATTTAGTTAAGATTGGTTGAACATTGCAAAATTATAAACATGTCTGCTACCTTTTGCGAACATCCTCTAAAATTTTACATAATTCTAGGTCTAAGTCAGCCTTAAGAAATATATATTGGATGCTTCTTTGGGGGATGATTCTTCAAAACGCATAACTATATGTTTAACTGAAAATATCACCCCGGAAATAACACTCATGAGATCAAAATTTGTTTGATTTTTCTGAGAAAATATCATAAACGGATATCTAAATATGCAATGACTCAGTGCTAAGCACTAAAAAATATCAAACGTCAACTATTGTGTAAATGACACGGAAGTACATGTATATATTTTTGATAAATAAAAAGATTTTGATGTTCAGAAAAAATGAATTTTTAAATGTATTTTGAAAACTTTTGATTATATCTATGATCGTAAACTTAGTCTGTTATTTATATCAAGGGATAGGATATGTATCAATCGGTTGATCTACAGTACTGGAATAGTCTTGCTAAACTTGAGGCAGAGGAAAGTATGCTTTGTTTAAATATTTCTGATTTTACAAAAAAAAGTGTAATTGATATTTATAAATTAAAGCAGTCTGAATATAAAGTTTTGATATTACAGATCAGAAACGAAAGTTTCAGCATGGAAGAGGAATATGTACCGTCTTTCTATTGGATACATCAGGTAGTATGGCAGGAGATGGATTTCGTCAAATGCAGGAGGCTTTCATGGAAATATTAAACGGTATAAAAATGAATTATATATTTTTTTCCAGAAATGCATTTATTAGTACCTTATGTTTTATAGATTTCTTATAAATATTACATGGCTATATCAAATATTATTTTCAAATTTGCAAAGACAATTTATTTGAATCAACAATATATAAACATTAGGGGCAAACTTATGAGGACGTCTTTTTTGGAAACGGAATATTTATTCTATGATTAATCCCTTTTTTTAAACCTGAAAAAGGAATTGCTTAGCGATGTGCATTATACATAAAAGTTCACATCTGTTGTTTGATACATTTATTTACATGTAACCACGGTATTCTACTTGATTTATCAAAGTCAAGGCTTTTGAAATTATGCAATTAATAATATATATTATCGCACAATTCAACCGGTTGAGCAATACCAAATGCTTCTTTGTAAAACAAGTACTAAATTGAATTAGTTAAACTCAAGTATTTTTTTAGCATATAAGCACATAAAATATTCCTTTGTGTACTACGATAGTTTTGTTAATATTTCAAAGAAATTAGCGCTCATCCAGATACAGATGAAAACGTTGCAGTTATATCCTTTGGCAGAGAGGTCAAATTCTTACATTATTATTCGAACAACTATGGATCTGTTATACAATGTCTAGGTATCGTATGACAAACTTCTTTTGTTCAAGTTTATAAGATATCCCAAATCCACACAAAAGAATATTTTTCATAATTTATTGCTTTACAATTTGTAAAAATTCAAATTGATACTTAACATGATAAATTACAGAGAGCATTCATTTATCTTATTGAAAATTTCATTGAATTTCAATATATTTTGTTGATGAAAATAATATTGTAATTGCGAATAAGGATGGATTCATAGTATACATATATGCTTACGAAATGATAAAACCTGTAAAACCTGTTTTACAATTTTTCAAAACACTTTTATTGAAATTTAGATTTTTAGTAGAATTAGTTTAAATTCGTTATAAACATTCATGACAAAAATTAGCTTAAACAGAAAAATGGCTTCTTGACTTTAAAGTTGTATCTTTCTATACTTCAGCTGATGTAGAGTGCAGTGGCAGTTCTCCTATGGAAGCCGGTATCCTTTTGGCTTTGTCCTGCTTGCTTTACGGAGGAGGTAAGATTGATTGATTGATCGATTGTATGTTGTTTAACGTCCCTTTCGAGAATGTTTCACATATGGAGATGCCACCACTTGCTGGTGGAGAGCTGCAAATTTTGGCCTAGGCTCTGCACTCAGGGCCTTTGAGCAGTGATGGATCTTTTATGTGCCAGCAACTTCTGCGACACGGGACCTCGATTTATATGGACCGGTCTCCACCTCCCACAGTGGGATTCGAACCCGATCAACTACTTACTTCGCGAATCCAGAGCAGACGCTCTAACCACTGTGCCACGCGGAGAAGGTAAGAAGCTATGATTTAATTTGCACATTGTATGCCGGTAGCACTATGTATTGATTATGTAGAAGGAACATTCAGTAGTCAATTCCAATATAAAATGAATGCCCTTACAATTGTATAAAACTTATAACCTAACTACAAGTTATCTGTGGGGAGGGGGCATAATAATTCTTTTTAAACTTTTGTGCTGTTGAAATTAAAAATTACATTTCAATTCTAACTTGTCAGCCAAAACATGACCTATTAATTGTAGATAACTACTACTTTTCTTGCAAAAGTAGTTCTTATATGATCCTCATTGTCTATAAGTAGTAAAACGTCCAACTATGAAACAAATATTGCAGACTTATACTGGTGTATTTTGTTTTAAGTTCATAGAAATTTATCAATTTACATATACGGTGTAAAGAAGTAACAATTGTTAATTGATAAAAACGCCGTCTATCTATCTATATACCATATCAACATGTAAAAGTTTTAATTTTTTTCATATAAATATTTAAAACGTCGGCTAATAAACACAATTCGCACCCACCGGTATTCCAACAGTTTGTTGGAAAATTTGTTCTCCGAGGTTTACATTAACGTTGTTATTGGGGGATCCAGTGTCTTTTAAATATGTATCAACTTCAGAGTAATGTTTATGTGGAATCAAAGTGATATTTAACAGAGTATTTTTAGGTAACAAATCACGAGATTCGAAAGTTTCTGATATCTATATATTAAATTTTTTTTTGGAAAAAGGAGAAGCTGTGTCTCTGAAACAAAAATAATCACATGTATGTAGTTATTTCTAATCATGGCTATATAAAGAAATGAAACGTCTACGTTTTTATTCGACTTGGCGAAGTACATTTGATAAAATGTATAAACATAATGTGAACAACGTTAACATTAAGCTGTATGCAGCTTATTTAATAATTCTGCACTCTTTTTATAGGTCATACTGCAGTTTTTGATCACAATATAACCGTTTGTGCTAGGTTTATTATTATTTCTGATGGATGGCCATCAACATCTGCTGACATCGGAGGTCCAGAAATCGACAAAAAGAGCAAAGAACCGTTTTACGATGGAGTAAATATGTTCTATACAATTGATATTATATTGTAAAAAAGCAAACTATTTGTTTTTCGTTCTACAAATGTGGCCCCAAGAAAAACAGATGATACTATGTTTAATTTTGAGTCAACATCACAGGACTCAATAATATGTATATAAACAATTGATATTTTTGTGATTTCAGACTATTGCAGGAATAGAAGCATTAATCAAAACAATTGGAAGAACTAACCCTATTGTTTGTATTCCCGTGGGATCTGATCCAAATGCTGTATGTCAAAACATAAGATACTCCATTTCAACTTTCTCTTTTAACTGGTCATGTGGCATTAAGCGTAACATTTCTTGTAAATCTTGGAGGAATTCAAATCAAATATATAGCCTTTTGAAACAAAGCAGTTCTTCTTATATTAGGTATTTTTTGAAAACTTGATGCATCTATCAAGAAGAGGGAGGCTTATTAATCATAGAGATGCCCGCCAGTGTGGACGATTTGGTCTCCATATAGTAAGTTTATAAATGTTTCCTGAGGTTTCTTTTTCTAATATGAATTCAAAGCCATAACAGAAGTGATTTTATTCTAGAAACTGACTGATCTCATTTTGGATCAAAGGGCAGCAGATCAAATAAAACGTAAAGATATTGAAAGAATTGTTAGGTTTACAAGAATTAGGACTGACTTCACTAAACAGGATTTGGTAATAATCATTTTGCTTTCAATTAATATTCTATCTTATATTTTATCTAAATCACTGGTTCATTATTGTTCGACGATCTTTTTTTTTCTTGGATCACCTTTTTTCTACAATAGCAGATCTACCAGTATATGATGCAAAATCATTCATAAAATTTAAAAAAAAAACAATATTATACCCCACCTTTGGTATCTTTTGAAACAAAATTGATTATATCTTTCAATTGTTCAATTTTTGTGATTTTGCATTATATGTTTATATGCATGACATTTTGTGTTTTTCCATATAGTCATTTTTAATGTAAATAAATTGCATTTTTCAATTCACATATTCTTATTTTTGTTTCTTCCTATCAAACAGATTTATACTATTGTCAGTGGATTTATATAAATATATTGATACCTTGTGCTTCTGTTTGATACAATTTATGCATATTTTTTGCAATATAAGCCTCTATTTAATGCAAGGCTTCGTAATATTTTGCTATTTTACATCCTTTCGTTGCTCTCTTAAATTTCTTCCTCAGTGAAAAATACGCCACCACGGAGCTTTCTTTTGTGAATAAACTTCATATAATATAAGTAACTTTTAAGACGAAATCGTCGTAGGTTTGAATAACAAGGAAAACTTTACTGATGTCGTTATTGTTAACAAGGAATATAGAGTGCTTACTCAATATCTTCCGTTATCCAGGAAGACAGATACTATTCCCTGTACGTCTTGTAACAAATTCGGTTTGATTCCATCAGATTGATTCCATTATCATCATAATCATCGTCAAATGTAAGATTAAAATGATGTCACCCAATCCATGCCTCATAATGGTTCGAATCGGTGGAGCATTTATTTAGTGTTGCGATTGACTTTTTCGTCTTGTTGTTTGCTGTCAGAAATCGAGACTGATAGCAGCAACAGCATTATGCCACTAAAATACAAAGCAGTAGATATACAGTTTACCGATTGGGATTAAAAAAGTTATGTACAGGTACACGGTCAGCCATTTTTTGCAGACTAAAAATACATGTTTCAAATAAAATTCTTATCTATAATCACGCTTTTAATTAATGTTAATTTTGAACTAGTATCGATTTGAATAAAATTTATCACAAAGTAATACTTGTATAATTCTTTTTTTATTAGTAGTAAAATATCAGGAGATATCGAACAGTATTCAAACTCAAATATCTATCCAAACAATGCAAATCATGAGCAGAGCAAACACGGACCTTTATAAACATTAAACGTGGGATCAGGTACCATGGAGAACTGAGCTCCCTTTCGAACGGTCACATCCGCCTTGCGCTCCTTATTATGATAAAACAAGAATAAAAAATCCCTAGGCATTTCCTAGTGTAAATAATGGCCTAAAAATCAATATGAAAAACGTATATCAGCATTTTCCTTATTGATATGCTGATACGTATTAATTTTGCTAACAAGGGCATTGTAATGGCCATAGAACTGCAAAATCATGACTTTAAACGAGACTTGATATTCTTATTTTAATAACTGGTATGACAATAACTTACCTCCATTTAGACATTGTTCGTACGTAGAGCATGTTCTTGTGTATTGATTCAACAGAGAGATGTTACATGTGACCCCGTATGTAGGTAATAAGGTATACTGCAATATAAGTAAGGGGGTTGACGAGTGAGAAGTTGAATCTATCACCTTTATCATAATCATTTGTTTTAGGTTATTATTAACGACATTTACTAGTAAAATATTCAAAGATGAAACAGATGTGTCAGACTCTAGAAGCCTTACTTGTAAACATTTATCTTTTTACATTCTAACAAAACACTATTTCATTTTTTTTTTAATTAATTTTTTAATTAGGAGGACATCTTCACTATTATAAATAGTTTAGATTTATACAAACCAATCACTGCTGAAGACCTTGAAGATGATGAGTACACTGAACGCTATCCAAATGTTCCTAAAATTGGCACCAGGGTAAAACGAGGACTTCACTGGACCTATAAAAACCAAGATAGTAATAGACCCGGAACAGTAGTAGGACACTCTGAAAGATGTAAGACTATATTGCAAACTAAGAGTTCATATTCCTTCATCAAACATACATAAACAAATGCACAAAATTATAATTTTATATCTGTGATACCTTTAAAAATGTTATGTTACACTTCTCATATTAAAAAAAATCGTACTTTTCAGATGGTTGGGTTATCGTGGAATGGGACAATGGAGTTAAATTAGATTACCAGTATGGATTCGATGGTATGATAGAAAAGTATGACATCGCTTCATGTAAAGAACCAAGGATTTTAGAAAATGAATTAATTGCAGTTGGTTGTCTTGTTTCCAGAGGTATTATTTGTTTCAGATACCCTACAATGCATTATTTTTCTCTCTGTGTATCTGAAAACGAAAGTATAGATTTTACAATGTGCCACTGGCAATTTGATAGTAAGATGACAAATCGTTAGATCGTTATACCTTTTAACATTGCCATTACATGTAAATGTTGCATTTAGATGCTTAATGTTTTGATTGATTTCTTAACTTGATTGTCTTGCTCTAACCACGCATCTTTTTATATCTTTCAAATCTTTATCAAAAATGTTTTTATTTTCAATGTGTTTTCCTAAATAATAACCCCTTTTGTTTCCTTCCAGAGTTTTTTTTATGAAAATGTAATATAAAAATGACAGTCATTCTCGATTACTTAAGGTCCAGACTGGAAATGGGGAGATCAAGACGGCGGAGAAGGAAATATTGGAACGGTATATAGAGTCAAACAAGAGGCTGTAGTTTATGTACGTAACCTAGAACTTTTAACGAAATTCTACCGTTAGAAAAATTAGATGCAGAATTACCCAATTTCTTAAAAAGTTGAGTAACAAACAACCTTTCTAGTTAGAATGAGCATTGGCCTCGCCATATCTTGTCCACATATTTTGTTTTTGAAAGAATTCTTTTGAAATTAAAATTTGAAAAGTACGTTGTGATTTTGTAGGTGAAATGGCCAAATGGCAACCGTTGTAACTACAGATATGGATACAAAAATAAGTATGATGTTCTAATATGGTGAGACATTTCTTACTATGATCTTAGTCGAAATAAGATTATTTATATAAAGTATTTAACTTTTACTTGATAAAAAACATGTTATTCAATGCTAATAAACTTTCATTTTTATGATAATTTGTATTCAGTGATCCTTTCGAAGCATCGTATCATTCCAATCGACGATTAAATCATTCTGAACCTCAAACATCTTCAAGAGGTATTTACGCAAACATGCAGATTTAATTTTGTCAGTTTTATCCAGAAAATATTTTTGAAAGTAAGTTTCTGATAAAGAGTTGCTGTAAAGGTATTAAATTAAGCTGAGTATTTTTATTGCAATTTTGATGGAACGCAGCAATTGCTAAATCAAGTACAAAGCTAAATATCATGCATATACATGTGTATACACATAAATAAGAATGTCAAATCTACGCTGTCTTATCAATTTCACCCAAATAGCGTACATACGAAATATAATACATTTACAGTTTTTAATTCTTTTAAGAGAGCAATATTATGTTAAAGTATGTGACTGTCCGTTTCTATACTCTTCAAAAAAAGAAAGAAACGCATAGTAGGAACAATGCCCTGAAAAATGTATGATAGTTATGTCATACCTTTTGTTTTTAAATGGATATGATGTATTCGAGTAAAATGCGTGATTTTTTAATGCAATTGTTAACTTTACAGCTATTCTACAAGTATCACGCACAAAAAAACCTGATTTTGCAAAATTTCTTCCAAAATTTTGATATCAATTTTCATTTGTTGAATTCTTATTATACAAAAGGGCTATCAAAAGCGGGGGTTCTCGATATTTTGTATCTGGTTTTATCTGAAAAATGACGCTTCCTAAAAATGCTGCATCTGAATGTTGTATAGCACAAAAAGGAAAATGAGCGACTGGAAGCAGAGGTACCGCAATCCACAATTGCAAGAGGTTTTAATGTTACGCACAGCGCCATATCTAACCTATAAAACATAAACCATTAACATCGAACACCCAGTGTTCGCAAAAAAATATGGTAGACTATTTGTGACATCATCAGTATAGCATAACTTCAGAGGATCACATAAATTGCATGAATGTTATGCAATGACGTCATCTAAAGCATTAGCTATCCCTGAACTGCACAGATCATCTAACAAGACCGTTTTCAGTTAACTACGAATTATTGCAAGAGGATTATTCATACCATTGTTCTGACCCCACAATACCCCAAATATCGACTTCAAAGATTTCAGATCAATAGAGTATGACCACAGCAATACTGCTGAACATTTTGGTTTAGCTACTAGTCCAGAATGTTTACCTGAAAGCCTTTTATAAGTTTAAAAGTGCTAATGCTTTGTAATGAATGTTAGACAGATAACTGATTCCAGGACGTTAAAAAGTTGGTGGTGGTAGTGGAATGATATGGAAAACGGTATTATAAAAAAGTAAGATTGATTTGGTTCGAATTCAATGGAGTTTGATGGAAAAAGGTACTCTAACCATGTTCTACCCACACATGCCCATTCAATTTTGCAGCATCCTAGAACCGTATTGCAATCTCACAATACACAGCCACATGCAGCTCGTTTGACACTCCAATTCTTGCAAAGCAACAGCAACCTGTTTCTGCGACAGTCATCCAAATCGCTAGATTTAATCCAAATTAAATTAAAAAAATGGATTGACATGATATGCCAAAGACAATCTCATCCCCAGACTCTGCAACAGCTAATCAAAGTTCTACATTTGGAGTGGGAGAGTATTCCTATACAGTTTTTATTACACACATTTGCTTCCATTAGATGCCGTTTGTGGCTATCATTTGTGTCTGCGGGGGGCATACCAGATATTGATCTTTAATGGTCTTAAACTGACAATAATTTTAAAATACTCGAATAATTATGACATTTAGATAGTATTTCTGTTGCTTACCACATTACTGTTTTATCAATGCATCATTTTACTAAATTATCCTCATGTTTAATGTGTCACTAAAATTGTACTATGCGTTTCTTTTTATGAAGAGTATATTTACTTTCTTCGGCATTTAAAAATGGGATTCAAAAACTAAAATGGTTAGTTTTTTTACACAAAAAATTATAATGAAGGGACAAGAGGAAGAGAATTGAAATCCCATTCAACATCAAATGGTGTTGACCAGTCACAATCTCACAGATACACAGAATGCAGCTCCAAGAATATTGAATTGGACGAAGCATCAAAATGTGAAACATCGTATGAGTGTAACGAAAACAGTTCATGTAAACAAGCATGGGATCGTAGATGGCAGTGGAAAGATTCTTCTGGAAGTTGGAACGATTATAGTGATGAAATAAATGATAAAATAGAAGACTGTTACAGAAGAAAGCCTGAGTCATCAGTTGTTATCAATTTAAAGGGACACCTGTAAGTATGAGTATTGTTTAACTTGGTTTTAAAGAAATGAATTAAAGTTTATGATCTTTATGGGAAGTATCAATTGACAAAACCCTTAACCGATAGGTAAATATAAATGATTTATTCCATCTGAGTTTTGATAAATATAATGAATACTGTTCAGTTAAACTTGATTTTTTTTTCTCCTTTAGATGCAGGATTATTTTTGTAAAAAGGATACAAATTGACACTATTTCCAAATCAATAACAGATATAAGAAGCAGTTGGGACGATTGATCAATAACGAATATTTTGAGACATAATGGAATGGATATAAACATTGTATATCATAAAAATTCTACTCGTTTCGATGAATATAGATTTTTGATCTTTTTGTCTGAGAAATCTGTTATAATAGCACTTGACAATGTAAAATGACAGTGTACTATACTTTCTTTTACCCATGATATGGATATAAATAAAGTTGACATTTACATTTTTATATTATGTTTTATTACACACTTAGTAATAAATACAGGTTTTTTGCATATGCGATATGACTTACGTCACAATAGCCGTATCAGCCCTGCAGGGCTGATATGGATTTGCGGGGCTGATAACCTATATCAGCCCCGCAAATCCATATCAGCCCTGCAGGGCTGATACGGCTATTGTGACGTCAATATCACACCCTTAGTAAATTAAACCACAAAAACAGTACTTGTGATCGTACACAATTTTTGGTGGGTTGATATTCTCTTAATTTTAAATTTTTGAAAATAAGGTTAATCTTAATTTACAAATACATGTAATAGATTATATTAAATTAGGAATCAAGTGCATTGAAATAGAAGTAGAAACAAATCCAAATCCTACGAGACAATACACCATGTATATTTCTGTAAGAAGTGCATGCATGTTTATTTACTTATTTTCTTCTCAACTTAATGTGTTCTGTATTTTATTACTAAGTATGTAATAAATATAATAAAACATACCCTTTTCCACATCACATCCTGTATCAGCCCTCGACCAATATCAGCCCTCGGGCCTTCGGCCCTCTGGCTGATATTGGTGTCTCGGACTGATACAGGATGTGATATGGAAAAGGGTATGTATTATTCTCTATATATCATGCATGAAATAATATAAATGTTTTCACTGAAATTTGTAAAATGGTTTGGATTAAAGAAGAAATTACGTATTATTTGTATTAATCAAAATTATGGCTTTCTCTAAAGTTTTTCTTCGTGGCCTGACCTTTGTATATTGAGCACTTATTGAAAGAATATATCTGCATATAGTTATCTATGTGAACACAAAAGCATTCTACAATATTATTGTATATCTCTAACCATGAAATATCCGATATCAATAGTATTGAAGTATATGTAATAAATTTGCAGTTTATTCTTCGGTCTTCATGTTTTGAATTATATAACTAGATCAACGACAGATCGCCCATTTTGACTACAGTATGTTTTCGTTTTAATCGGACAGATGTCGTCCGTAAACTATGCACATATTTGATGATTTACATATGCTAATAAGCCTTCTTCCAAATATGTTTATTTTGTAATCCATTGTTGATCTTGTGCTAAGTTCAGTATCAGGTATATAGCTGTATGTCATATTTTCTGAAATATGATAAATTATTTGGGATCGAGTATAGGGTATCGATTTCAATATAATCTAATAAAGAACTGGTTCTTGCATTGAATTTGATACACTGTATTATAATATTGTCCGTTTCTGTATATTTTGCAATAATACATTCGTCAGGTCTCTTAAACAAATCAAAATTGTAAATACTAGTATCATGAAATTTGGAATGTATGGGTGGTGAATAAACTGTCCCAATGTACAACCCCCCCCCCAAAAAAAAAATGACTTTATCTATTCTTTTTATTGAAATATATTTTATAAATTTGCTGTTTATTCTTCGATCTTCGTGTTTTGAATTTTATAACAAATTTTCAGGTCTTTTACTACAATATAATTATAAGTTAGTGTATCTCTAGTGAATTACCTTTTATCTCCGAAACTGCAATTCACTGGGCTTTAAACAGCTTATTTTTATGAATTTATTAAATCTTTTTATTCCAGTAACAAAGACATGTATAAATTTTCCTTACAGAGGTCTTATTAAGATGTTTGACCTGTAACATTGCTTTGGGGACGATGATTATCCAATATGTATATATTCTGGTCACAGGAGATTAGCAAATTTGTACAATTTATAAAGGAAATCAAATTCAAGTTCAATACACAGTACATTACATTTAATTCATATAATATAATTATGCACTACATCCGCCAAGCATACGAGGGCCGTTCAAAAATTACGCGGACTTGTTGCACAGAAAAAATATTTGACGACATAATCGGGCAAAATGTCACACATAATATAAAACAATCTTCATTTATATGGTCTTCAAAATTTCATATCAAAATGTTGTAAATTGGTATCAATTTTGAGTGATATTTCAGGACATATCATTAAGTCAGGGAGCAGCAAAATCTTCGACGTCACAAGCATTATAAAAAAATATGTCACTGAGCTTTCATTTTGACAAAATTTTCCCAGGAGTACCTGTTCTGTTTGAGTTACCTTATCTACTCAACATCCAAACACCATTTCTTGTCAAGCTTAAATCTATGAAACAGTAAAGAATATTCTTTTTTGTTTTAAAACCAAAAACGGCAGGTATTTATGAGATATAGTGTGATATTGGTGACTCTCATTCACGTTCTTTACAGTCCGGATAAAGTTTTCGTCGATCATCTTCTTCCCGGTCTTCCCGTATAGTTTTTCTACAAAGGTCTAACGGTCTAAAATTTCAATTTGCAATTTGTGGACGAATGTCACGAATACTCTAGTTTACTATATGTTATATTATGCATATTTTGGATCTATGTTGGCTATATCTCGAGCATTACACATAATTTAACAAAAGTGTGGTGCGCCGTCAATTCAGAAGACATCTTTTTCACAGTCGTTTTTACAGGAATGGTATCAGAGAAAAATCACTATATTTCTGTTAGTACATCAAATACCACGTCAGAAATCTAAATACATAATAATAGAACAATTCAAAGATACATTTGAGAAAATTGTCGAAAAATATCCTGAATTATAGAAAATTAATGAGTTAAATTTTGGATTCCGTATGCTTTTGCTTCAAATTTTTTGTCGTGCTCCGTACCTCTTCATCAGCGATATCAACATACCGATAATTTTAGTAGAATTTTTTTCAAATACAGAAATTTTTCCCAAATTTTATTGGAATTTTTAAGATACATATGTCTGTGAAATTTCATAACTATATGACGTTTATAAGAGTAAATTAATAAATAGCACAGTCCGTGCAATTTTTCAACGGCCCTCGTACAATCACAGAATTCAAAAATATATAAATGCAAAGAAAGTAGTTTTCTATTATCAAAATCATATATTTTGGTTTTACGAAAAATGAGACATTGCTCTACATTTTCCTCAGATAATTTGTATGTGAGTATTGAATGTTGCATGTTTGTGCTTTGTCCATTAATATATTTGCTGTAAAGATGTATATGTTTTAGTTAACTTAGAATTATCTTAATTTACTTTTGCCTACCTTGAGAAAGAAGTATGTGTTTATTTTAAAAAATATAGATTAATTATATATTACTGATAAAATACTCATAATGTTTGCTAAAAAGCAACAGCCTGTAAAAAAAAATACACTTGCAAAAAAGAAAGCTCAATAAAGATGATCAAATTTATTTTCCTAATTCTTGACGTTTTTCATAAGATAAACAATTTTTTGTGTACATAATATCCATAATGTTGAGGAAGTTTGTCACATATATTTGTTCTATACAAACATTGATACAAACCTTAGAACATATAAAATGGGTGCCGTTTTCAGAATATTATCCCTGGTGGCGAAAACAGGCAAGGGTCATGGTGCCCTCTAGGTTAACATTGCTGTGCATGGTAGCACTAATTGGAATCTTAATACAAAGTATGTATTCCTCACTTTTTCTCTCTTTCTCTGTCTGTCTGTCTGTCTCTCCCTCTCTCTGTATTTATGTAAGCGCATTTTTTTTTTGAATTTGCTTATCTCAAGCAATTAAAAAATATTATTCGTAGGACAGTTTTCAAATTATAAATGTAAATTATGGGTAATGCTACCAAATACAAAACGTGTTTTAAAATTGATGTTTAATGTTTATTTTAGGTTCTTCCACCAAAAAAGTTGAGGACGGGAATACTAATGTCAAAAGTCGTTCAGATTTTGGTAAGGAACATTCATTTCCATGTTCTGTGTTTCAAAAAAAATAAAGATATTGAATTTTAATAAGATTATAATATTCATGAATTTACATCTTAATTCCCATAGGAATCTTTTACTAAGACAGATTTTAGTTTATTGATATTTATCTGTATCAGTTAAGTTAGGAACCGCGTTTCTTTTAATTGTCTGTTGTAACTGTCGCACATTAGGAGCAGTGAAATGAATCTATGTAACTCTATTTGAATGTCCATTTTCTCCATATTCCCTAGGAAAGAATAAATAAAGAATAAATTAATATTTAAAATTACTGTCAGATAATGAATGTTTTTATTGCACTTTTTCCAATTAAGTTATAAATCATGCAATTTTAAGACATAGAAGAAGTGCGAGGAGTCGATGGAAGTAAGAAGGATGACAACGAAGAAGGTATCGAAATGTTTGTTTGTGAAATACTGTTTATTTGAAAGTAAAATGTGTAGTCCATATATATACTAGTATTTCATATAGTTTTTCTATCTACTTTTTCAGGAGAGTTGACATTGATTGATCGAGCCGTGAAAAACACAGGTTTAACAAAAGGTAATGTATATTCTTTCAAGATTATTTCTTGCAAAAAAATCTACGTACAGGTATCATATGATGATTGTAATGGACAACAAAAAACCTAAATATTTGAGTTTTAGTAGTCATAAATGTAAATAGTCATAATCGGCAATACATTGATCGTCTCTCTAAATTTCAACTTGCATGGAAACTGAATTGTGAATCATATATCAGATGAAATCGAGGAGGTAGAAAAACGAGGATGGAGAAGAAAATCTCGGCGTAGAAGGCGACGCAGACGCTCTCGACGAAGGAGGTCTAGACGTTATAAAAATCGACGAAGGAGAAACCGTAGAAGACGATCTAGGCAAAGGAATGGTGGAAGAGGTTCAAGAAGAAAGGGATCCGGTGGCCAAAGTGGTGGCGGTGGTGGGATTGGATCTCATATTGGATCCGCCATTTCTGGGGGACTTGGTGCATTACATAGCGGTAAATAAGAGACAATTAAATCTTATAATAGTTCAATGTTCTTTTTTGAGATCTGCCTTAAAAACTTTTCTAAATCAAAAAATTAAACAATCTTATATTCATTGTCAGCTTTAAATTAACACAGCCTTTTTGAGAATATTTTAACCCTAACTGTTAATGAATCGAGTTTTTGTTTTTCATTTTATTTGTGGATTAAATTAATTTTTGATTTTAAAAAAACGCTCATAGAAATCGTCTTGATTTGAATCAAAGGCTACCTTGCTTTAGGTACACTGACGATACTCCTGTAATTTCCCAATCTTAAAATTTCAAGCAGCCTCATAACTCGACATTCTTGTAATTATTAGGAAAACATAATCAGCGAAAAAATATTTAAAAATAGATTAGCATCTTATATAATAACAAACAACTTTAATATTTAATATGCTGTTTTATTGCAAATATTCAATGCCGTCTATTAATGGCAGTTTTTGAAAATGTTGATGTAAATGTGTGAACATTTAATTGAGATATCTACAAAGCTACTGATCTAAATTAAGAAGATATTTCAAATCACTTTCCTAGCGGACAAATATTGCAACGAAAGGGGGCTTTGTGTATTTTAAATCTATTATACAATATTTTAAATCCTTACTTAAAATTTCATTTCACAATTAAATGAAAAAATTAAATTTGAGTCTTTTTAAATGTGCTTGGACTTGTGTGCAACACGAACTCTGAATGGGTAAAAAAAAATCATTAAATATGAAGATGCCTTCAAAATTTCTGGACTTTCTGACTTGTGTGAAATTTATATTTTTTTTATTGCAGGTTTAGATCTTGCACATAGTCTCACTCCCGGCAATAACCCTGACGAGGACGAGGAAGAGAATAATTACTAGCTTATGTATATGAAATTAGAAGCATGAGAATAAAGTATGATTAATGATTTACCGTTTTCATCAGAATTGATGTTCTTTCTAAGCAATGCCATTTTATTTTTTTTTAAAACTCACAATTGTGGAAGAGACATCCCAAGTTTCACAATACAATTAGATTGTCTGCAAAATCTCAAAGGATACAGAATTCGAAGATATTTACAGCAGTTACACTATGTGATCTGCCATAATACAATAACTCATGCCCATGCAGGGTCCCATGATTTTCAATTGCAAGAGACGTGCGCAACCTCGCTTTTTATAACCTGATAATCTATGTGTATCCGCTAAATACCAAAGGCAGAGATGTTCAAAAGATTAATGCAGTTTACTCTATACGTATGGTCAATAGAGCCTTGTCATAACATTAGAACAACTGGTCTTTAGCCTTTACACAAAGATGTTTCGAGTATATATCAAAATTGATTGAAATTGGTCCCGTGGCTGAAGGTCACCGCAATCATTATATATTCTCAGCCGTATTTGTCCCCGATTTTCCATTTGTCACAACGGGCCTGTATACCCGTTACCATGCAGCTTAAAAGAGTAAATTTGACAATCGTAGGTCAATGCAGATTGAAAGTATGTGAGAGAAATTGCGATTCAGACTTTCTTGAACGCGACTACAATCAGTGCACCTGATTGCTAAGTTTAAACAAGAGGCCCATGGGCCACATCACTCACCTGAGAATCTTTGACCATTCTGTTTCTTTATCCGATTTCCCCCTTGTAATACATATTGTGACCCCACTTTACCCCACTGATCATAATTTATACAACTTGAAATTTACACTACCCCAGGATGCTACCACATAAGTTTCAGCTTTTCTGGCCCAGTAGTTTGTGAAAAGAAGATTTTTAAAGATTTTTCCTATATATTTCTTTGTAAAAATTTGATTCCTCATTATGGCCGCGCCGAACCCCCGGGGGTCATGATTTGAACAATTTAGAATCTACACTACCTCAGGATGCTTCCACATAAGTTTCAGCTTTTCTGGCCCAGTAGTTCTTGAGAAGAAGATTTTTAAAGAATTTTCCTATATATTTCTACGTAAAACTTTGATTCCCCATTGTGGCCCCGCCCAACCCCCGAGGGTCATGATTTGAACAATTTAGAATCTAAAATACCTCAGGATGCTTCCACATAGTTTCAGCTTTTCTGGCCCAGTGGTTCTTGAGAAGAAGATTTTTAAAGATTTTTCCTATATATTTCTATATAACTTTGATTCCCCATTGTGGCCCCGCCCAACCCCCAGGGGTCATGATTTGAACAATTTAGAATTTATATTTCCTCAGGATGCTTCCACATAAGTTTCAGCTTTTCTGGCCCAGTGGTTGTTGAGAAGAAGATTTTTTAATGACCCCACCCTATTTTTGTCTTTTCTTGATTATCTCCCCTTGTGAAGAGACTGGGCCCTTCATTTCAACAATTTAAATTCCCCTTCACCCAAGAATGTTATGTACCAAGTTTGGTCAAAGTGGCTCAGTGGTTCTTGAGAAGAAGTCGAAAATGTGAAAAGTTTACAGACGGACGGACAGACGGACGAACGGACGGAAAACGGACGGAAAACGGACAAAATATGATCAGAAAAGCTCACTTGAGCCTTCGGCTCAGGTGAGCCTAAAAATGTAACTTCCGCATTGAAAAATGTGTTCGCATTACAAAACGCATCGGCAGAATTTTTAATGAAATTCATTAAGTGTAAGGGTGCCATTTTTTGTCCATTTTTATATCCACCATGATTTGCGCCAAAAACAGCAAGCGTACAATTTGGTGAAATCGAGGACAAATGCGGCTGAAAATAGAGCGGAATCTAAAAAAAACATAAAATTAAAGTGATATACCACGATTATAGCGGAATTTATGTTTCCCCCAACCTGATAAAAGAACAAGGTGCAGTTTTAATACAAATGAAGCCCTGTATTTTTCAAAAATATGAAAGTGATATTAAGACATTAAAATTCCATACAGTAAGAATACTAGTACACAAACCGATTTTCTCATATGACCTCCTAAATGCTAATTGTGTCGTCATTAGCTTGTGCATTTTCCCGTATTTTCTTAAAAAGTTGCAGAAGACATCAATTTTTAGTGAAATTTTCTTTGAGAAAACATACTCTGTCACCGTCGCCCACTAGGATTTGGAGATATGTGATTTTTCAAAGCAGTATACATAATATATCCAAAAATTGAAGCGGGCGACGGTGGCAGAGTATGTCTTTTGACAGAAAATAGGCACAGAAATGAGTCATTCTGAGGCTTTTCTGCATTAAACTTAGAAAAATACCAAGTTAGTGACGTCACATTTCCGAAATGGTCCTCCTTCATGCCATATTCTTTAATGATTTATCATATTCATCTACTCAACTATTGTTAAAGGCTAATTTCAAAACTTTTTAAATGGCTGGGCAATTCATTTATTTTGAATTGTTCCCCTTAGAACATTGCATGCTAACTAGTAAAATGATAGATTTACTTAAGGAAAAATCATTTTATTTAGAATAAGTGTCCATGGAAGTGTCCCATGTACAACAACACTCAGCTGAGTATCTTTAGCAATGCTGGACTATACCAGATTTCCTCCCTTGTTATATGTTACTATATTGCGGACCAATTTTAACCCTATACCTACCCAACTCAAGGATGCCCCAACATAAGTTTCAATTTTCTTGGTCCAGGAAATTCTGAGAAGTAGAATTTCCTATATACTTCAATGTAAATTCGGATTCCCTATTCTTGTCCCGTCCTACGTATACACTAGGAGATCACATTTTGAACAATTTAGAAGCTACACTACCCCCAGGATACTCCCACATGTTTCAAGTTTTCCCTACCCGGTGGTTCTTGAGATAAAGATTTCTAAAGATTTTTCCTATATATTTCAATTTTAAACTTTTATTTCCTTTTCTGGTCCAGCTAAAATATTTTGAAACAACAGCTAATTCGTGACTCGATAACTGTGATTATAACCTTTTAGCTCACCTGAGCTTAAAGGTCAAACGAGCTTTTCTGATCACTCGTTGGCTATCCGTCTGTCTGTCTGTCTGTAAACTTTTCACATTTTCAACTTCTCAAGAACCAATTGATCAATTTTAACCAAACTTAACACAAAGCATTCTGGGTTAAGGGGAGTTTAAATAATTAAAACGAAGGGCCAAGTCCTCACGAGGAGAGATACATGTGTACATGTATTTAAGAAAAGACAAAAATAGGATGAGTTCATTAAAAAAATTCTTGTTATAAGAACCTCTGGGCCAGAAAAGCTGAAACTCGAGTGAAAGCATCCTGTTGACGTGCAAATTCTAAATTGTTCAAATTATGACCCCCGGTGAAAGGACGGACCACCACAGGAAATCCCAGTCTTACATTGAAATATATAGGAAAAAATAAAATATTCTCCTCAAGAACCACTGGACCAGGAAAGCTGAGACTTATACGGAATCATTCTGGGGTAGTGTAGATTCTACATTCATTTGGTTCAATCGTGACCCCCAGGGATAGGGAGTGGTCGCAATAGGGAATCCAAGTTTTACATTGAAATATATAGGGAAAATCTTTTTCTCAAGAACCACTGGGCCAGAAAAGCTGATACTTAAGTGGAAGCAATCTAAGGCATAGTAGATTCTAAATTGTCTAAATCAAGACCCCTAGCTGGGGCTAAGGTTGGGTCACAATAGGTATTGCAAGGGGGAAATCTGGTAAAGAACAGGATGGCAAAAGTTACTCAGGAGAACGATGTGGCCCATATGCCTCTTTTTCATATTGCCTCTCTAAATGTCTTTTTCCACAAGTTACTTCTTCAAACTGCTAACTCTATGTATGGCGTAATTTTTTTCCCTTTCTTTTGGACAATATGTTTTACTTAACTCGATTTGGCACCATAAATACTATTATAGGTTATCAAATAAAATCCTACGAGGCTCATTTTATTTTAGATTGCTTAACTTTCCAGCTTCGTAGGGACGTAATTTCGCGTGTTTCTTACAAATTTGAGAAGGGTGCTAAATCGGTGAATAATGATACTTACGATTTCTTTGAAAACCACAAAAAATTAATGAATCCATGTAGTGAATATTCTACTTTATAAATGATTTAAACGCCGATCGATAAGGTTGTTGTCTGAATGTTAAGTTAACTACAGTACAAGATGTCTTTTAAGAAAATATTACTTAGTGAGGAAAGAATTTTAAACTTATCAAAATATGCATCATGTTTATCCTAAACAACTTACCCCACCTCTGGAATTTCCAATGGTCCGTTTTTTTTTCAGTCATTTTGATAAGCATGATTTTTTCGATTTCTTTTCCGATTTATTACGCAATATTAACTTGTCATTAAAATATTTTTACAGTTCTTGATACAAATTTGAATTTTTTGGTAACTAGAATATTATAATTTTTTATTAAGTAATCGAAGATTCGAGGATACCTAGTTTTTGTACTGTTAGTCCGTCTGTTTACCTATCTGTTTGTGTGTCTGAAAAGAAAAACTTTAAAGAAGTTTTATCACGTCTCAAATTTTTTGATATTACAAAGTTAAAATCCTATTTGAATCATCCATCATTTTTTTGGGGGGGGGGGGGGGGCTAAAAAGTTTAAATTAATTTAATTTAAAATTTTGGATGTTCCAGCGATTCAAAGTTTGAATTCTCAACATGCATATTTTGATCGCCGATGTTGTGCACCATTGCTCTAACATCACGGGTGTCAATCCTAGTCAAGCGAAGTATTTATTGTGTTTACAAACGGCTTATAAATTCCTTCGTCTATTAAACCTGATAGAAATTAAATGATAATTAGCTAATTGACAGATATTTAGATATAATTTGTGGTGTTTTGATGAAAAATGTGCACAGGAAAGTTTTTAGGATCTTTTTTCATTACTCGCCCTGGACTTGTTTTGGTGCGAGGATTTGTCTCCATTCAGAATAATCGTTTGAGTACGATCACGATTTTTTGTTTCTGTACTTTAAACTATTTAACGGAAATTGTACTTTTCACAGCGAAAAAA